ACTTTCATGGAAGTCCTGAGGGTCTCATGGCTTTGTCTGTTTTTGTTGTTGCTGTTGTTTTTTTTTTGTTTTGTTTTTGTTTTTTGTTTTTTTTTTAATTAAGGACAATTCCTTTCACGATGTCTAATTGTAAGGTTGGAAATTTACCTCTGTCCAAACAATGCCAAAGTTCTGGTCCAAATGGATGATTCTTTTCATAAAGAGCAAAAGTATCATAATTTTTTGGTTTGGTAGTAGTAAGTAGCATTGCCACATTAAACCAGGTCCCAGCTGGACCTCTAGATTCTTAGTATGGAAGAGGTTAATGAGGCACAGGGGTTCTGGGCTTGCACAACCTGAAGTTGGCTTTAGTTCCTATTATATGGGTAGAAAGTAGGAAGCTGATATACACAATCCTCCACTTATCCATGGAGGATACATTCCAAGACCCCGGGTGGATGCCTGAAACTGCAGATAGCACCAAACCCTATATATGCTGTTTTTTTCCTATTGATACACACCTGTGAAAAAGTTGAATTTATCAGCTGGGCACAGTAAGAGATGAATAATAATAACTAATAATAAAATTGAACACTAGTAACAATATACTGTAAGAAAAGTTATGTGAAAGTAGTCTCTCTCAAAACACCTTATACTGTACTCACCCTTGTTCTGTGATGATGTGAGATTATTGGATGCCCGAGCAAGGAGAACAAGTGAGGTGGATGATGTAGGCATTGTGACGTGACGTTAGGCTACCACGGACCTTCTGATGATATGTCAGAAGGCGGATCATCTGCTTCCAGACCGCCGTTGACCACAAACCGCAGAAAGCGAAACCGCAAAAAGCGAGACCACTGCACATGAAAGATGTGTCAGTGCTGCTAGATCATTACAATGTGACCTGCATGTTCCCAAATAACAGCAAGCTAACTGAACCGGAGTAGAACCTGGCTTGTAGCTGGCTGAATCCTACAGTTCTTGATGAAACAGAGGTTTTGTATTTTACATGACCAAAAGCCATCATCCTCCTCCCTAATATTGTAAGTTGCTTAAATTTCTAATAATAATATGTCAAATAAACAAAGATTTTCTTTCAACCACAGCCACATAGGAAAAGAAATCAAAGTGTTACCTTAATGATAATAATTTTGCTATTATTAGTATTTGTGACATTTTGTCATAATGAAAACCCGTCAAACTTGGAATTAAAAGACCAGGTGGCAATCTCACCTCTGTCACTTTGCTTCCTTGAGATCCCGAACTAGTCACTTGGGTGTCTGAACTTGTTACCCCACCTCTGAATTGGGGGATGTTCAGAAGCAGTAAATCCTACTAATAGGGTTGTTGTGAGGAACAGAAGAGATGTGTTTTGTGAAAGACCCTTGTAAATTTTTGTGTTCTATTATCAGTACTACAAATCATAGTATTTCTAAACAAATAGTCCCTCTGTCCCTTGTATTTTTGGCTAAGAGAGCTTGTTTTCATTTCGGGTCTTCTGTAACACCTACAACAATCTGGGAGAGTGGCAAGAAGAAGGGAATTCGGTCCTATATTCTTTTCTGGATACAGTGGGGGTTTTGATAGAAGCATATACCTAAAAACAAGTTATAAATATATATATTCTTGGGAACCCCAACTGAAGATGTTTCAACTTAACAATTTTTTGACTTTACAATTGTGTAAAAGCGATATGCATTCAATAGAACTGTACTTTGAGTTTGAATGTGAATCTTTTCCCAGGCTGGCGATATGGGCACAATACTGTTTGGTGCCTGCCATCAGCCCCCAGCCACAACTCCCAGTCAGCCACACGGTCACGAGGGTCAACAACTGACACACTGGTAACATTCTGTACCCACGCAACTATTCTGTTTCTCACTTTCAGTAAAGTACTCAATAAATAACATGAGATATTCAATACTTTATTATAACATAGGCTTTGTGTTAGATGATTTTGCCCAATCTCAGTGTTCTGAGCACATTTAAGGTAGGTGAGGCTAAGCTACGGCGTTTGGTAGATTGGGTGTATTCAATGTCTTTTCAATTTAGGGTATTTTCAACTTATAATGGGTTGTCGAGACATATTCCCATTGAAAGTGGAGTGTGTGTGTGTGTGTGTGTGTGTGTGTGTGTGTGTGTGTGTTTACACATACATACAGAAACAGAAATCAAAACCCAAACTGAATAAATTATTATACATCTGTGCAAAAGCTAAATTCAGACTCTGAGGTAGTGGTTTCAAAGTTTAATGTGCATGAACTACTTGGGAGCTTGTTAAAAATGTAAATTCCTGGGCCCTAACCTTCAAGATTCTGAGTTAGTGGTCCTCGATAGGCCCCTAGGGCCTGCCTTTTTACAGTTACTCTATGCGATTCTGATGCGGGCAGTCCTGGGAGCACTCTTAGAGGTAATATCTCCAAAATGAATGGATATCATAGGACATATGTCCATGACTTGGACCAGAGGGAAATTGCTAGCTTTTCTTCCAACAGAAAGAGGATTCATGGCTTGGCTTGTGTTTTGGGAACTGCATGAAGAAAGAGGGATAAATGTTTGGAGCTAGGATGAGGTGAAGAGAAAAAACAAAAACAAACAAACAAACAAACAAACAACAACAACAAAAACCAGGTCATTTCTAAGCACGAAAGATAGCCAGGGAGCAGATTCCAGAGAATTAGGGAGAGGTTAGAGATGGCATTATCATGAAAAATGATCAGAGAAAAACAGAAAGAGAATGAAGGGACAAGAAGGAAGTGAAACGGTCCCAAGAATGCAGGTGACATCTTCTGCTATAAAACTAACCCTGAAGCATCCATTCTTCTGCCATCATTCCACCTGAAAAGCAGGATGCCCTCCATTTCAAGACCACTTGGAGAAACTAGTGCAACCATTGCTCCCGTACAGAAAGCCAACAGCACAACCAAGATAGAATTTTCGAAGCTGTGTATAGATTTGCACAGTATTTACTCTTTACAGACATGGTATTAGGTGACGAGCATGCTGAAATAAGTCCTCAGAATCCATGGTTATACCCTCTCTCATCCACAATGTCTTGGACAAATACAGCATAATAATACAGTTGACACGTTGGGGGCCGCTTCAGTGGTCTGGAGTTCTGATGATGTTTGGTGGATAGTTCCTATAAAATTCTTTGTGCTTGAACTCTATAGAAAGCACAGATTTGAACCCAAAGTGTGAACTAGGGTCTGGGTCTGCCATAAAAATCTCAAATTTAAATGCCTTGGGGCATATTTCAGCATCTTAAAAACTGTACTTCATTTGGGGACTTGCCTTCAATGTAAACATATTTCCTTTTAATTCAGTATGGCAGCTGACAAAGTGACTACCCACAACCAGGCAGGAGTCTAAGAAATGTAAACTGTTAAAAGATGTCATCTTAAAAGCAGCTAAACGTCTCCATTCTCAAAGAAGCCTCCAGCCTGAGGAACTAAGTGAACATAATTAGAAATACATCTGGGTATTGGCCTCCTATCTGAAAAGGTCACATGCACACCTTCCACTGGTACTGGTTATATTCTATCATTTGTTCTGTCCTGACTCATTTGTCTCCCACTGGTTACCAGATGGCCACGATAATGTTGGTATCCTTAACAACTGTCTTGTGCAATTCCCTGCAGCATGGTAAGGACTCAAAATATTGAGTGTTTTCCCTTTGGATAAGCCAGTGACATATCTGGGAATTGCTTACAAACGCCCTGATGGAGTGGTTATAAAGAGTGATGGCAGACTGGGTCATGGAGCCTAAATTCAGCTTGACATTGTGCAGGTGGCAGGCTACCAAAGGGGAGTTTTTGCCATTTCTCAGGCTTAAGATGAAGGCAGGATTCCTCCATGCAGAATCTGGTTTTTATAAATAATCACTTAATATAGAGAGGTGTAGATAAGCATTAAGATCATTGTAAAAGAGAGTTTCATTAAAGTGGCTGAAATGTTCTGAGCTAAGTTGGTTCTGATGGAGCTGTCACAAGGATGCTTGGGGAGTCCTCTCAGCATGGTTCTCTGAGATGTGCCAAGTTACCAGATGGATTGGAGGAACATTAGAAGGTAGGGGGTAGGAGAAGGGGGGAGGGCAAAGAAGGTGGAGGTATCAATCAAGTTGGGATAGATCATGCTGCAAAAACAAATAACCCCCCAAAGCACAGCCTCACTTACAACAACAAAGGTTCCTTTTGTGCTTGTGTTCTGTGTCCATTTAGGATCAAGGAGGGGTCTCTGCTCCATGTGATTCTTACTCCAAGACCCTGAATGGCAGAGTAGCCACTATCTGAATCATTACAGATGCCCAGGACAAAGGGAAAGAGAGTGTTGTCAGTCAAACACTGGCCCCTAAAGTAGCCACTCACTTCTGTCACATTTTATTGGCCAAAACAAGTCACATGGTCACTTGACTCCAGTGGGCCAGGAAGCATGGTCTTTCCACACGACCATAAAGAGAACCAGAAATATTTGTTGAATGGCACTACCCACCACCAGATTTGATGATGATGCTATTTGAACTTATGGACATCTCTCTGGGGCCAGATGACCTTTACAGAGACTTCCAGCACTGAAAGAATATATAATCCAAAAATGTAGCAATACCAGACTCTGGAAATATGTATAAAGAAGCTCCACAAAATTCTGATTTTTCCTATGATGAGTGACTTTAATGCTTAAAATATATATCAGACTCTTTCAAAACAGTTTTTTGGTTCTGCTGCTTTCTGGTGACCCAAACATTGCTTAATCTGTCTATGAGATCACCCCATCTCTTTCTTTTCCCCACTTTTTCTTTTCCCTACCAGTAACCCGAGGCTTTTTAGTGGAATTGGGTTGGTGAAGTGGGGCTGGGAGAATGCCCACGTCAGCCAGACAGAGACAAACATGACTTGGTAGAAGAGTCTCACTGAAGACACATTTTAATACAAAACCAGAGTGATCACTGAAATCATGCCATAGCCCGGACAGTTCTTTGTTGGAGGGAAGAAAGTAATGGGAGCTTTTTCTCGTTTGTCTAGGGGAGGACGATGAAGAAACCAACGTGATCGTTCTCAGCTACCCTCAGTACTGCCGGTACCGATCGATGCTGAAACGCATCCAGGATAAGCCGTCTTCCATTCTAACGGACCAGTTTGCATTAGCCCTGGGGGGCATTGCGGTGGTCAGCAAGAACCCTCAGATCCTGTACTGTCGAGACACGTTTGACCACCCAACTCTCATTGAAAATGAGAGTATATGCGATGAGTTTGGTGAGTCTTTTTTTTTTTTTTTTTTTTTTTTTTTTCCTACCTGAAACTTGCGCGTGTGTGTTTAGTTGTTTTCGGTTCTTGGAAAGAGCGGTGATGGGGAACAAGGCTTATTTTCACAATCTCTGTGTGCCACCCCTCCCCTCCCCCCAAAATTATTGTGGCATGAAGTGTCATTGCCTCTTCGGGAGCCTCTGTTTACCAGGGTAAAAGGTTATTATTTAGAATTTGTTGTTCAGTATAGGGTCCAAAGTTGCTTGGTCGACCTTGAAATTGGACTTTCAGACAAGAAGCTTCCGTGTTAGTTCTTTCTTCGAGGGCTTTGGCTATTTGGATACTGATTTTTGTTTTTAATTGATCACGCCCTTTTCCGTGTTATAAGGAACTATAAAAATGCACCAGTTGTGACTACTTCAGTACTATAAAGGTGAACAGATAGACTGATGATAGATAGATCCCCATGCCCCTTAATTTTTTTCATATATATGTATGTATGCACATATATATCCATCTTTGGTGGGCACAGTGTATAAAAAATATAGAAAGATTTATTTATATATCTATATTCAGATATCTGTGTATATTTTTATACTTATTTATATATCTATATTCAGATATCTATATATATTTTTTGTACACCATGCCCACCAAAGATGGATATATGCACACATATCTTTATCTGCATCTCTGCCTAGCTGATCAGTCATGTGTCTCTATAGATAGAAGTGAAGGAGGAGAAGAGATATACATTTGGGAGACCTTGCATGTTGCAGTGAATGACTGGAGGCAAGCCAGGGTCACATCTCTCACATCTTCATTTTCTCATCTGTGTGTTGAAGAGACTGGATCATATCGTGGTTCTCAATAGGCTGGGCAGGGATATCAGAATGCCCTGGGGGTGCTTTATCAAGTTATAAATGTTCCCTGGAAATTCCTGTACTTACAGAGGCATGAAACTCCCCCACCTACCCCTTCTTTGGGAATTGCCACCATGGAGCGACCAGTATGATGACCGACCCATGCTGAATCTCTCATGGGTCCTGGGGTGAAGAAGAGTCTGAGACCACTGGCCCAGAGGGAGCACTAATGGGGTCCCCTTGAGTTGGAACACTCCTTGATTCCATTGGCTAATGCTTTCCCAAGGATCCCTAGTTTGTGGGTTATTCAGATTCAGATTATTCTGCTAAACAATTGCAGGCCTCAGCATGGTTTGAGAAATCCACTGTATTCATGACCTTGGCAGCCTTCCACCTGTTTCAGGGGGGTATTGTACGTAGGGGTGAGGATGAGGGGATGATGTATAATCCAACAAAGAAGGGAGGAAAGAAGTAGGGCACCTAGGTTCATCGGACCTGGCTTTTTCTTTTTTCCTTACAAACTTTTTTGTCGGATGCCTTTCACAGCTCTGGCTTACCGAACGACTGCCATTCTATAAGAGAATAGTAGTGTTTCTATAAGTTATTTTCTCCTTTTTCCAAGAAGAATTGTTTAATACTCAAATAACCTTTTGTATTCAAGTAGATGAATGTATCCAATACATTTTTTAATACCTTCTCTTTTCAGATCAACCTCTACAAATCTTCCCTTTTTAACACTTCTGTTTTGAGGGTTGTTTTTTTTTCCCCATATCCCTGACATCCAAACCCCTCTGTCCTGCTTGCCACTGAAGAGGTCTGTAAATTTCTGACACAAAATAAAACTGAAAGAATGCTTTCCCTCACTTAAGAGTATTCAAAGAGCATCACAATGTAACATGATGAAAAATGTTTTAACCTTTTTGGCTAATTTAAGAGTTATTAGTCATTGAGCTTGAAAGCTGTTGTGTCTGGAATTGGTAATAGAAAGAAGTTCCAATTTAACAGTGATCACAATGGTTGTTAAGAGTTACTAAATTAGTTTTAAATGTTCTCACAAACACAAGCATCTGACTTTTGAATGTTTTCCTGAACTTTCTTCTGGTAAAGCTAATTTTAATGCTGTTTTTCTTCTCCAGCCTCTTAAAGTGGAAGCTTTCTTTTGGAATAAAGGTACCTTTAAAGAGCTTTTAGATGGCTAGCCTAATCATTAGAATATTAGATTTTTCTTTAATCTTTAATATTAGTTGAGTTTGTACTTCGTATAGTATTTCATTCTCCTAAGTGGACACCCTTTCCCCCCCCCCCCCCCCCCCCCCGCAAAAGAGCTTATTTTGACCTGATTTGCATACCTTCGCCAACATCCCTCCCCCACCTTCCATGTTGGGTCACACATCTAAATTTCCAGAAAACACCCTTTTAAACCTCCAATTGGTTGTATTTGAAAGCAACATGGGTTAAAGAGTTTGTTAAAATGTGGGGTTGGGTTTCTCCAACCAACTAACAGTTGGTAGGAGAACATAAATTTCATTAGCATTAAACAAATGTTCCTAATATTAAACACTGCCAGATGACTGAAGCACTTCTGTCAGATTACCGCGAGTGCCAGGGGGCCCACAGATGAATTTTCTACACAGTATATATTCTGTACCACACGTTTGGTGACTTCAGTAATTGGTCAAATGTAATTTAGGTAACAGTATGCCTAGGCTGTAAAAATCAAATTTTATTAGCCATATCACCAGGTGGGTGAATGGTGGAGCTGATGGCAAAGGGTTTATAGCATTTATCAGCTACACCTTTGACACATGGAATTCATAAATTGCCATAACGTACCTGCAAGGCCCTTCTCAAAAGGACAGTGTCTGCTTTCCTATGATTAAATAATGTTTGTTTTATTAACTAATATATTTTCTGCTTTCTCCTCTTAAATGGGATTATGGAGTGGGGGTGAGAGAGGGCGTTCAGAAGATAAATAAAACACGGTTCTTGCTTGCTTGGAGGATTTAAAAATCTAATTGGGGAAGACAGGATTAACACACCTGAAAGGTTAACTAATGTTACAAGAAAGTCAATGATTAAGTATTTGGTGAGTGTTGCAGAAAGCAAGCACAGGAGGAATTTAGCACTGGGCTGGCCAGGGCAGGGAGGGGGGTGATCCTTGGAGGGGGGTCAGGGAAAGCCTCATGAAAAAGGCAGGACTGGGTCTGGTTTTAAAGGACAGGGAGAGGGGCGCCTGGGTGGCTCAGTCAGTTAAACATCTGACTTCCACTCAGGTCATGATCTCATAGCTCGTGGGTTCGAGCCCCACATTGGGTTCCACGCCAACAGCACAGAGCCTGCTTGGGATTCTGTCTCTCCCACTCTCTCTGCTCCTTTCCCACTCGTGCTTTCTCTCTCAAAAGTAAATAAATAATAAAAACTTAAGAGAAAAAAAAAAAGGATAGGGAGAAAGACTAATAGAAAAGTTTTGGAAATACCTAGATCACTGACAATTCATGTTCTGACTCTCCATGTTAAGAATGGCTGCCTTCACCCTGGGTGAACCGTTGGCCTTCCCTTACTTGGTTTGCCCCCAATAAATGGACTGGTGCCTTCTCTTTACCAGGGGGACAGGAATATGAGTCTGTGGACCAGGGCTGGGACGAACCCAGGCAGTGGCTTTAGAGCCCAAACTAGGCTTTCTTGGGCAGAGATGACCCACATCCTCTGTGCGTGTGACAGCCTCTTCCAACTGCTCAGACATCATCCCCCCTCCCCACTGTTTCAATGTTGTCCACTGAATAACAGGTTTAATTGAACAATAAAAGTAAGGCTTTTAAATCTACAATGAATCCCTATAAATAAATTCTCCATGGAATTTTATGAAGCTGTTTAATGAAAAGTTTGATTAGAAACTATTAAAGAAAAATAGAATAGATGAAATTTCATCATTTAGTCCCACATTACAGTGGTGTCATTTTGATTTTTATTTACATTGAGATATTCAGAATAGAGTAAATATATCCTGGTTTTAATTAACTATCCTCCTTACTTGGGAAAGGTTATTTTAGGCTTGAAGGGTTTTGATAGCATACCATCTGCTTTCGTCCCTGTATTTTATTCAAGTCCCTTCCCTGCTTACAGCGCTGTGCGATATCTAAACCTATGACATAAGCATAAATCGAATCATATTAATGGCAGGTGATTGAAAAGCTTGAGCCTCGACATCCTGCCTGAATCCTTCTGTCTTGTCAGTTACAATGCTCTTAAAGGCAATGTGCTCTTTTCTCAGCACAAGAAAATGGACTATTTTTTAAACTAAAGCAATGGACTCCCCATTAAAGCATTGCGAAAACTGGTTGTATTGCACATGCAATTTGGAAATGAGATTATAATAATAATGAAGGGACAGTGACATTACGAATGACAATTTTTCTCATAAAAATCTCTCCCCTGTGCATAATTCCTGCCCCCACTGTCCTGTTAGACTCTCCTAGCATGAGGCATTCTTCAACCATCCCCCCACCTTGCTTTTACCTCTTTTTATAATTTGATTCCTCTTTTGTAAAACGCATACCGTCCTTTATATCATGCTATTGTCTGGACGGTAGGAAAAACACACACGTGCACCCATTTTGCCTATTTTCCCTGTTAGAACAATAAAATGCCTACCAGTTTGTCATGCCTGCTGTTTACATGACTATCACACGATTGATTTCACATGTGTGAAGTGTTGACAGCCAACTCCAAACAGAGGTGTGCACAGTACAGTAGGTACATGGACAGATTTAAGGTACCAGCTTTATCAGATGTAAGGTGGACCCAGTATATATAAATGAGATGAAATCAGTCCATAAATATGGGTGGAACTAAATGAATTAAGATATGGTTAATTAAAAATATAACAAAAGATACGGTTTATTTTAGTCTGAGTTTTGAATTACAAAGAGACATAAGACATTCTCTTAAGTTCTGTGGGGTCGGTATGTGTGTGTGTGTGTGTGTGTGTGTGTGTGTGTGTGTGTGTTCCCTGACCAAGGAACGGGATGGAGTTAAAGGAAGGATGTGGTAATTCACCTGAAAAGAGCAGAGATGAGATGGACTGCCGTCTTGGCATTTGGTCCACGTGCAGGAAACCATGAGATCCTCTCCTCAGGGAGAAGGTGG